TCACTGACTCATGACTCGTGACTCACTGACTCACTGACTCATGACTCGTGAACCACTCGTGACCCACTGACTCTCTGAGTCACTGACTCATGACTCGTGACTCACTGACTCACTGACTCATGACTCGTGAACCACTCGTGACCCACTGACTCTCTGAGTNCAAACAAAATAAATAAATAATACATTAAATTAATTTTGTTAAAAATTATGCCCATTAAAAATGTGCCGTTGTTGTGATTTAGTTGAAGTTTTATTCACAGTATGCTTCATGTTCCCACATTACAACTACAACTCGTCTGTCGTCTCCATAAGATCTAATTTGAGGAGGGAATTTAGGACTCATATGAAACCATCACGCCTACCATCCAAGGTAACGAGATGGGTGCGAGAAGGTGAGCTAAAAGCAATACTTAATTTTGTAATGCATTGTTCATTCCTTTTTTTTTTTTAAACGCGCCAAACACAAGAAAATAGAAATGGTCTTGGTTGTTAATCGTGTGTGTTGCTAAACATTTTGAAACATGACTTGATGTTGTGTTGTTGTCTTTGTGTTGTCTTTGTGTTGTTTTTTTGTTGTTGTTTTGGTTTCTTTTGTTTTCGTTTTTTAAAGATGTCAACAATATTATGAAAACGAATCTTGGTCATTGGGGGGGGGGGGGGTGAAAAAAAAGGGGAAAATTTTTTTTTTTTTAAAAGGGGGGGGGGGGAGATTTTNTACACTTTTATCAGAAGCTCATTGATCACGTTTTACACTTTTATCAGAAGCTCATTGATCACGTTTTACACTTTTATCAGAAGCTCATTGATCACGTTTTACACTTTTATCAGAAGCTCATTGATCACGTTTTACACTTTTATCAGAAGCTCATTGATCACGTTTTACACTTTTATCAGAAGCTCATTGATCACGTTTTACACTTTTATCAGAAGCTCATTGATCACGTTTTACACTTTTATCAGAAGCTCATTGATCACGTTTTACACTTTTATCAGAAGCTCATTGATCACGTTTTACACTTTTATCAGAAGCTCATTGATCACGTTTTACACATATTGTCATGGTGATGTGTCATTTTTTTTTAATAGGTCTTCTCAGAATCTTTAATAAATGTCTTTGTAATATTTTTATGACAGTAATCATCCATTTACGTCCTAATTATGATTACTCCATAGTCATCATTAATTCGTAATCATCATCACTTCATAGTCATCATTACTTCAACATCAGTATCAGTTAAAATTCATCGTTACTTATGAATTCATAATTACTTCGCAAACGTTACTTTTTATCCCGCATGACATCTGAAAAACCTAATGAATTATTGGGGATGTCAGCGGCAGAAGTCTTTGAAGTAAGGTTCAAGACAGGTACTAGCAAACACATGTATTGATTGACAAGTCTCTGCCCAAGTGAAAGACAAATCCAGCCATCTTTTAATAGAGGCAACAAAAGTATTGTAAAAACTGTTATTGATATTTACGATACAATGGGAAATTGATATTTAGACGGCGGTGTATTGTTAAGTGACCGAGAGTGACATCGGGAAACCTCGTGGAGTTCACTGCTGAATTTCAAGCATAACAAACTTGAAAGTCCTTCATTTCTTCACGATTTCAATGTGGAGAGTGAACACTTTAAAACACTTGTTTAAACATATTTTTTTAATATATATATATATATATATATATAGACAAGATCATAAGAAACTAGATCACGTATCATAGTGTTGAGTGTAGGGTTATGGCCTCCTCGAGATGAGATACCTATTGATCAAATGTCCGCGAGGACTATTTTGATCAGAAGAATTACGGCATCCGCATTCTAATTACGTTAAAGTTATATGGAACACCGGAGTGTAAACTCGAGGTTTACATTCTAAATACAAACCAAGAACAACATACATGGACAAAAAAAGATTTGAAAACTCAACAAAATAGGAAGCAATTTAATTCGTTAATTTGTTTTCTGACAGCCAAACAACAAAGCAACTAACAAAACAGTAATACCCCCCCCCCTTTTTTTCCCCCCCTTTTTCCACCAAACCTCCATATTTTTTTTATTAAGAAAAATAAAAATGAAAATAGTAAATAATAACTCATCAAATGAGCTCCGCTTAGTAAGATTGAGGACCCTTGTTTAGAGCAGGCGCAGCTCAAAGTTTAAGGCGGGGCGTAATACTCTCTGAAAAAATTGTCCAGGTTCGCAAGATAATAGGAGAATGGAGAACGCTATTAAGAAAATGATACAATAAAGAATATTTTGGTTCTTACAGCTGGTTATATACTGTGGGTGATGAAAATTAATAAAAGTGCAATCTGGAAGTTTCTTCTCCTTCCCTCCCCCCCCGCCCCCGTACCAATCTGCACCCCTTCCACTCACGCCCTGATTTTAAACATATAATTATCAAAGGCCCCTCGAACATTTTTATCGCGATAATGAGCTCTATTTTTAAAAACAGATTCAACATTTGATTTTATTTTCTTATATAGTGAATATTAAGTTGCAACTAATTTTAAAATAGTTTATTTTAACTTCTCTATTGTTTTTTTTTGGGGTGGGGGGGGGGGCGAAATATTCGGAACGATAATAGACTCACTTCCCGTCTTCCTATCAAGCTGAAACTTGTTAAATAAACTCCATGATAATGTCAACACATTCTGTCATATTTTCAGTCCCAATGGGATGATATTATGAAACATTTTTGTTCAGTGGATGCGTGTTTTGGTGTAGAGATTAATTGTGTCGCTTTTAACTATGTGCTTTGTATTTGTGACGTATTTGGGTTTAAATATAACTGTAGTCTATATGGTTAGTCATGCACTTGGTTTGATAAAAACTATTCACGTACCAACAATCAGTTGCTACAGTCACCTAAATGAAAAATAAGGTGTCATTAATAAAATGCAAACAAAAATGCATTTGTACCAAAAACCTGGTTTTTAATTGGATTCTATTTTTTTCTTTTTTTGATTGTATGTTTCAAAGCTTATTGAAAAACTTCTATCACTGAATACACATTTAAAAAGCGCACCCTTTTGAATAAAAACTTTTTTTTTTTTAAAGTTCGTACACCAAAAAGACTTCGCTTGGTCATCCCATATTTTTATAAATCTTTATTTGCAAGTTGTTAAGAAAAATATTGTTTTACTCTTTCCTCTCTAAATTTTAAGATTTTTTTTTCAACTATGGCTTGTGATACAATTAACTGATTACCAGTTGCGTTGGGATACCACAAAGCTTGTAAAGGCAGCAATGTTAAAACGTTTTTGTAAAGCTTGCCTTTTTTTTTTTTTTCAACATTGTGCAAAGTGCGGAAAGTCAAACTTAGGGGAGACAGGTGATCGCCTTGTAGACCGTTTTAGGGATCACCAGCACAACATCAATAAACAAGCCATTTGTCCCGTCTCTAAGCATTCTAATAGGGCTAACCATAATGGAAACATTAAATATTGAATATACTGATATAATGTATGCCAGCAATACATTCATAATTAATATAGAAAACACATTAACGAAACGATTTCGGACGTTGACTGCATACGGTATAAATTAAATCTACTATTTTAAATGGCTTCAACTACTTTTTTTTTCCTGTTTGATTGATATATGTACTACTACCCTCTTTCTGTTCTACTGAATCTTTTATTGTTAGTGACTTGTACTATTATTATTATTTTAATTATTTTCTTTCATTTTATGTATATGTATGATATACATATAGTATGTAAATTTAATTTATTCTTATGTGAAGATTTTTTGTTTGTTTTTGTTTTACTGATGGGGGTATTAGCTGAAACGTTCGAATTTTTACATTGTGTAATCATAATTAAAGCTTTATATGTATGTTGTTTTATTTACGCTAATTGATTGTCTCGTTAATCTGTGGGATAAAAGGGTGTAGAGGTCAGGAGATTTTATAGTTTAGGAGCTCAATTTTTGAATGCCAAATTTTTTTTGTTTTGATTTTTGTGTTAAATTTATTATATTAAAAACCAAACATACATACTAATATAGTTGCCATTAGCTTTATGTAGTAGATAGATATAGACGTGACAGTTTTATGTGATAGATTTATGTCCATATTCGTTCATCATTTGTTTTTAAACACACAAAAATTATTTACGGAGAATACTAAAATTCATTCTATCAACATTTTAGTTTATGCTTAATATTTCTCTTCACGATTATTATCTGAATGGTGAATTTCAATTGCAGCGAACAACACTTTTAATTTTCATAAGGATGTGATTTTTTTAAAAGTTGTTGAAATTGAACTGTAGACTTTGTAGATTTAGAGTCTATTTAAATGGCCTTTTTTTTTTACTTGAGAAACTAAACAACTCGTAATGATAGAATAGTAAATCCTTATAACAAAATCTACTTAAGCTCAAATATATATGGCAATTGATGTAAAATGTCTTCTTTGTTGAGTGTTTGTACAATTTTTCCGGCAATCTACTAAGATATCCTAGCTGATATTTACTTTGTGTAAACCCAGAAATGTAACAGTTTTTTCTGTATAGCTTGTCCTTCTTTTTTTGCAACATTTTAAACTAACCCTAATGCCAACTCCTTATTTCATCACATTTCACAAGCATAGGGTGCATTTCTGGAGCAGTCATAGACCAGGACCGTGTGATTATGTGGACAGTACTGGCAGCAGTTACCAGAAAGATTGCTTTCGGTGCTCTCCCCTGGTTGAAAGATCTGGCTAATCAGAAGAGTCGACAGAGGCGTTTCACTTTCCCAAACATAATTGTGGGTCTTCGCTAGATCAGAGCAACCGATCCAGAAGTCTAAGGTTCCCGCGACGGCTTGTAAAATATTGAGCTTTTCTGTCGTTGTCACGTTGGCCAAGTTACCTCCTTTTTGACCACATTCAGAACTGGCTGTAAAAAAGCTGGTTTCAGTCGAGAAGTACCCTATGCAGGACACTTCTTTTCCGTAACTCTGAACACTGAATCCTTTGGATGTGTCACACGTTATTTGTTTTGTCAGTGTCCTCACGTACAAATCTCCCTCTTCGGTGGCTGGTGGGAGAGAAGAACTTAGGTCGGCTCCCGGCGTGCACAGTTTAGAGACGGGGTTGAACATGAAGCTGGTGCAAGCTGGGTAGAGGGTCATGCAGGTGGACACACACGCGACGGGGGAGCGGTCAGTCCACGGGGGGGCGAGGCGGACGGGACCGAGGGATGAGGGTGGCGTTAGCTGAAACGTCGCCCCAGACTGGACGGTGACGGCGAGTGCTGCTTCGGCGAACTGCCGAGCTGAAAACGAAAGCAGATGAATGCATTGCTATTGGAAGATTCCCTAGTAGGATATTTCTAATGATTCCCTGAAATATTTTCAATACTGAATGTATTTTATGTTGGAAATAATCAACACGACTTAACTGAGATTAATCATAAGTCATATTAACCGTTGGTGGATTTGATTAAGGATTATAAATTGTCAAAAAAAAATTATTTATTTCTCTTTCAAAAATTGTGTTAAATACTTCTGTCATCACATAATTAAATTTTTTTAAACATGAACGATATGTTAACTTTTTTTTTTTAATTCGCTCATTGAAACCAATTAAACTAACAATCATTTATTAAACCACAACCACCCCCTACGCAAGACTAAAAAAAAAAACAAAAAACAAATCTACTATAGATTAAATAAACATCCAGAACTTTAACATTAACCTATATTTAGAGATTAACATCGAATAATACGTTGACTAAACCAAAACAAAAAGAACTGATGTGTGGCGTGTAACGATAACGTTAACCTTGTGTTAGATTAGGCTCCATTTAAAAAAAAAAAAAAAGCTGTTTTACTTTTAATAGATAAGAGCCTGGGAATATATAAGCAACATTGCTGTCTAGCTTCAAAGTCGAACACAGTCTTACTTTAGAGACTGATACATGCCATACAGAGCTTCGCGCTGTTGGTTGTTATTGGTATTACTTTTGTTAGAAAGTATCACATTTTCACGATTGTGTAGTGTATATTTAGTAAGTAAATGGTAAATGTCGCGAGTCCCAGTGACACCATAAAAGTCTTACCAGACAGAACCACAAAACAGAACGTGAATGTTAGCATGTTGATAACACGATAGACAGGATGTGTGTCTCCGCCCCAAAGGCTGTTAACTTGAGGCACTGCAGACAGGTATCTAAGTCTCAAATGTTGAGAAGTTGTTTCCTTAAAGACTCACAGATGTGTGTCTCCGCCCCAAAGGCTGTTAACTTGAGGCACTGCAGACAGGTATCTAAGTCTCAAATGTTGAGAAGTTGTTTCCTTAAAGACTCACAGATGTGTGTCTCCGCCTCAAAAGCTGTTAACTTGAGGCACTGCAGACAGGTATCTAAGTCTTAAATGTTGAAAAGTTGTTTCCCTGAAGACTCACAGATGTGTGTCTCAGCCTCAAAATTGAAGGCTGTTTTCTTGAAGACTCACAGATGTGTGTCTCAGCCTCAAAGGTTGTTTTCCTGAGGAACCAAAGATCTACTCTTTAAACGGAGCACGTCTCCTCTCTCGCAACACTTGAGATAAAGCCAAACACATTAGAGTTGAAAATTTAACCAGTGCTGACACTCTAACCCCAGACCTGAAAGAAATAATCTTATTTAAAAAAAAAATGTTATTATTTGGACTGTGTAATTTATTGCGTCGAAACACGTGTAAGCTTGTATCTTTTGAAAGTGACTAGTGAATAGCTCAACAGAGTCACAATAGGTTATACGATACTCTAATTAAACCATTTTCTATGTAACTCAAAAGTCACAATATTTTTAAACCATTATCAATTTAGTCACAATATTATTTAACCATTATCTACTTTTAAAAAAATGTTCGTTTTGAGTCAAACGTCACAATACATTGTAACAATTAATTATAAACTTAGTCAAAATAACATTAAACAGTGTCTACTTAAAATTTCTTCTATTTGACTCAAAAAGTCACAATGCCTTTAAACAATAATCAATTTAGTCACAATACCATTAAATCATTATATACCTGTCTCCAAAGTCGAAATTCCTCTTAGTTATATATCATCTTATTACCTTGAACCGTGTTAAAGATGTGGACATTGCTCAGCCTTGCTCACTGACTGATAAGACGCTATGCTTTTAGTAACACAAATTATTATTATTATTACTTTTTTTAAAAAAATTACTTCATTCTCCAGCTATTTGTAACAAATATTATGTCACAAATCAAAATTAAATCTTGTTCACGATTAGGGTAACACTATGTTGCCAAAGTTGTGTTAGTGAAAGCAGTTGTCGAACCTGATCTTGGGATCTTTAAGCTCTGTTTTTATTTCCCCCCGTCTACACAAACTATTTCTTCAGATAATGTTTAAACACAATTTGATGTTACTTTTAGCCAGGGCGTATCCCCCCGCCACACCCCCCCCCCTTGCCACTTAAAAAGAAAGTAGAAAATTTAACAGAAATGAAATGTACAATTAACGTTTTTAGAGGTCGCCGTCATCTTCTTTATGTGAACAAATGGGTTTGGGGATATCTTAGTGGACTACGTTTTGTGTCATTTTAACCATATACCGTAGAGAAGATCCCTTCTCCTTTCCCATGACTACGCCACTGTGTAGTGCAATTCTTCTAACAATCCATGTTTAAATAGGGACCACTTGTACCGGTGACATTGTACCTGGGACATTGCGATGACAGGCCCTTGTGCTATTTCCACTAAGATGATGACCACAGTTGCATCGATTTGTGTCATGCTTTGTCCTCGTGAGGGGGGACAATGACCAGCAAGTGAACAATGCTATTGATGCGATCGATACGCTATCATTATCAATTGTTTGCCATGTATTGGGCGGAACGTGTTAATCACGTGACTTAAGGGTCATCTAGGACTTTGCAAAAAAAAAAAATCTTGGACAATAAATTTAAATCCAAGCATTTCTAACATATAACTATACAAACATATATCTTTGCAATGATTTTAATTCTATCGAACAATGTCCATTTTATGATGCATTCCATTAATTTCGAAATTTGCATAGTAGTAAAAAATAAAGTAAAGTTGCATAGATGGGATGTTTTGCAAAGGTGGAGATTTTGTGTCTGTTTTGGGTTGGGGGGGGGGGCGGACTATTTAATAAAATAAAATAAAAGCACACTCACGATTCTTTCTTTAATCGTGTAAAAAACATACGAAGAAATTAAACACTAATTTTTTTTTTTTTTTTAAAGTTAAAAATTTTTGTTGGTCCGCCCATGACTGTATTTAAATTATTTTAGAGTACAAGCAAAAGATACGTCCCGTTTTGCCCAAGCTCTATTTAATAAAAAAAAATAAAAGCACACTTACGATTCTTTTTTTAATCGTGTAAAAAACATACGAAGAAATTAAACACTAATTTTTTTTTTTTTTTAAAGTTAAAAATGTTTGTTGATCCGCCCATGACTGTATTTAAATTATTTTAGAGTACAAGCAAAAGATACGTCCCGTTTTGCCCAAGCCAGATAAACACGTCGAACCTGACCTATTTTTGTCAAATTTTGTATGCACTGATCTTTTTTAAAAATTATTTTCTGTATCTAATATTAGCAAACGTAACGTAACTCGTTTTTTTCGATTTCTTCTTGATAATTTATTTATGGAATTTTTTTGTTCATGTTGTTTGGGTTGAATGATGGGCAACTGTTACAAATTGTATCTGCTAAAAATATATATTTTTTTAAAATTTTTATTTTTACGAAATAATGTGTTCTGGGTGTTTTATTTACTTTCTTCCGTTTAGCTGCCGTGTGCTATGAATAGTAAAGGTGCTACATACCGTTACATTGGTGTTGTAAATGTAATCTGTTTCAAGATTTGCCTCAATTTTTTTTAAACAATACGTGACAAAGGACTGAAAACCAGTCTACAAAGAAAACCGAGACCAAGCTAGTGCTAGTAGCAACATGCGGTTTATTGATATTACTAAATTTACATATAGAATAAAAAATAAAATAGACAGAAATAAAACATATTTTAACTAAGAGCGTAGTAAGTGAAAAACGTACAATACTGGCAAAAAATATATATATAATTTACTCTCACACATGTAAAGAGCACAATCTTGTACGAATATTGCGTCTCGTAAATGTCTAGGAAAAATAGAGAAAAAAAAATCTCTCTCTGACCTGAAAAACTGACGGATTATTTATATATGGAGTGAGTTGGAAAGCTCCAGAAAAAAAACATAATTTGTATCACCTGATAGCAGTGTTTAGAACAAGTTAGAACGGAAATTCTAACAAAGAGAACCTTTTCCAAATCAATGGAAGGGTGGGTAAAAAAAGGATCGGCACGACATATTTAATCAGTGACGTCAATATCAAAACAAAACGGAAGTGGAGGTAACGTTGAATACCACGTCTTGTGGTTGAATACAAAACTAGGCGTTCATACAGAGCAAAACAAAAGATGGATGATTATGAATTTAATTTTAAGAGTTTACGCGATATTTTTGTGACTATGAAAATAATAAAGAATGGTTGACAAAGAGATCAACAGAAAATGCATTCACGGCAATCTATTCTATAAAGTTTCGATATAAACTATCTAAGTGTTCGGATTTTTTCATTTTTTGCGGATTGTTTCATTGCCATTAGGTAAAACATATCAAGAACATATATTGCGAATAACTAAATGGTTACTAAATATACATTCCCTAAAGTGGTTCTCAAAAGTTTTTGATAAAATGACACACTCAAGACTCACATCTAATTTCTTTCTCCCAAAACGGTAAAAAAAAAAATAAAAAAAATAAACCTAGGCTATTGATTTAAAACCAGGTGACCATAAAGTATTGTTCAAAGCCCTTCCCCCATGTAATTTACCATCCCATGTCCTCCACCCTCTCCGACCAGTACCATCTGATTGGTCATAACACTCGGACCTTCACCTTTAACAGTAAGCCCTGTAAGCAGGGCCCAGACGTAAAAAAAAATACAATTGTAAATGGAGCTTGGTTTTAACACATGGGGAAAAGGTTGGGGGGGGGACGCACACAGCATTTTAAAATATTCCAAGAAGCTGCAATACAACATAAGACATGGTTATCACGAAGACAAACTACAGCACAACAAATTGAATAAAGTTCTCGAAGAAGTTTATTTCTGACAGCACGACGTAAGGTGGAAAAAAAATCCACCTGCTGCAGCTTGACTGGTTTGTCTAAAATTCTAAAGAATGGAAACAGCACAATGCACAAATTTACATAGCTGCCGTGTCTTTATTTATTTTTTTTTTTACCCCAGAATGGCTTTTAAATTTGACATCCACCCACCTTCTACCGCTGAGTTTTCGGGAGGGTCTAGCACCCGTTCAGAACACACATACACACTCACACACATACACACACTCACATATATACAAAACATTCATGTAATTATAAATTAAATTTATATATATATATGTGTGTGTGTGTGTTGTCATTTTGTCTTACAAATCCAACAATAAATTTTTAAATATTTTTTTAACCCCAACCTCTCAGAACCTTCAAAAGGAAAATACGCCAACTTAGGGACATTTCTTGTTGCAAAACTCATAACTGTGTATTAGGATACACAAGGAAAATATCATTATGTTTCATTAATAACACACAGCCTTCTTGTTACATTAATAACACATAGCCTTTATGTTACATTAATAACACACAGCATTTCAAGTTACAATAAATTATAATTTATGTCTCAATAAAACTATTTTTCAAAGCTTAAAGTTTCTAAAAGTTCCTCAAAATGAGTTGAGAATTCTTTAAGGATGAGATAATTCATGAAATTTTCATATTGTTTATAATTATCGGGGTTATCTATCTTTAATAATTGAGAGCAGTAAACAAAACAAAAAAGCTAGGCTGATAACTTTATTTTTAAGGGCCAATTCATATTTTTGTTGTTGTTGAAATGAATGAACGAGAAATGCTACTGGTCACTTTTAACTCCCACGGGTGTAAAATCATAATGTCTTTCTTTACAATACACAGGCTGAACATCATGATGGCTTTCTTTACAATACACAGGCAGAACATCATGATGGCTTTCTTTACAATACACAGGCAGAACATCATGATGTCTTTCTTTACAATACACAGGCAGAACATCATCATGTCTTTCTTTACAATACACAGGCAGAACATCATCATGTCTTTCTTTACAATACACAGGCAGAACATCATGATGTCTTTCTTTACAATACACAGGCAGAACATCATGATGTCTTTCT